ATTTTGGAAAGCGCAATGTTAAATACCGAAATTTCATCAGAGCTTATATCAAATTTTTGTCATCCATTGAATTTTAATGTATTTTTGGAAAACGACATCCAGTCTTCATTTTTAAATATGACCAATAGTGATATAAAAAGTATAAATAAATACTTTTCTTGTATGGAACCAGAACTTGTTGAAAGATTATTTGAAGCTATGAAAAAATTAACCATTGATCCTTTGTCAAATAATAACGCACATACCACTGATAAAAGTTACAATAACAAGCGTAAAATCGAAGCAGCTCTAAAAATTTTGGAAGATGAATAAAAATTAAAGTCTAATCTATATTTTCTTTTTGTAATTTGCTGGGTTTAATTATGAAAAAGTATATTATTGCGTGATTCTGATGTTGATTAGTACAATTATGTATATAACTTCTAAAGTATAAAACTACAAAACATAATATTATAAATTGGATATTTTAAAATATCATATTGTTATATATCTTTTACTAGTCTCCATACTGATTTTGATTCCTCTTTCCATGTTAGTTCAGAATTATTTTTCATTCTATTAAAAGCAACTTGATGACCATGTTTTGCAATATCGTAAAATTCGTTCCAAGATAAATAACGACATAAATTTGCAATAATATCATCGCAATGCTCTGACAGTAAAGTAACATCAAATGAAATATGTTTAACTGGTTCTCGAGAGATATATATTTGAGGTATATTTGAAGGAATAGCATCTATAATTTTAAAAGTATAATAATTTTAAATATCAATGTTACCTATAATTTTTGAAACTGGCGCTACTTTTAAAGAGGTACCAATAGATATAACTAAGTCACATGAATGTATATCTTTTTCAATTTTGCCATGAAACAACGTTGGTAATTTTTCACCTATGATTATTCTTAAATAGGAAAAATATAATAAAAACAATTACCAAAAAATGTAATATTTGGCTATATTATTAATTTTAATCTATAAAAATAAAAAAAGTACCTTTAAAATGCCAATATCCATTATAATATTATTTTCATCGTTAGATTTTTGCTTTGTTTTTATTTTTTTATTTTTATGTTTCTTTTTTTTTAAACATTTAGGACATCGAGGTAATGTTTTTAACTTTAGAGCATTAAAAATTATTTGACCAGCAAAAACACCTCCACATAAAACACAAACTGCATTTTTAAATGAACCTATATCGTTAAATTTTAAATCAAAGAATAATGAAAAATACCATGACATTGAACCAATTTTTCACTATGAATACCGACTATTTCTTCAATATTATCAACATTTTGTGTATACTGAGTTAAAAGTTTCCCCTTATCTTGTAAAAGTCTTATAAAGGCATGAGTAGGAGAATAAATATTTTTAAATTCCTTGAAAGGAAAAAAATTAACCATAAAAGAATAAAAAATACTGATTTTTAATAAGTCCATAAATATAAATGAAATTAAAACAATACCTAGGATCTTCCTTAAAAACATCAATATCAAACAATTCCTAAAATTTTATTAATTTTTTATTTTCCATTACCTACTTTTTTTAAACCTGTGGATCACTTAATCCATATTGCTCTAGTCTAGAATAGATTCCTGTATTACTTCGAAAATCAGGTATACCAAGAGACGTGCTTATACCTAAATCCCTTTTTGAAGAGTATACTCCAAATCGCAAGATATACATACCTGCACCTGTAATAACCAAAATTCTCTGACTTTTTTCAATTAAATATACAACATCATGTACAGTATTATACGTTTCTAATTTAATTCTTGATTGTCGCTTTTCTTTCAATGTTGAAATGAATGGTAAATTATGTTCCATAACACTTGCAAATTCTTTCACATTTGATCTTGCGTCATTTTTTTTCAACTCATTCATTTTTAACTTGTCCGCTCTTAATTTCGCATCCGATTTTAATATCTTGTTTCTTAATAATAAAAATTTATATATTAAAAATTCTTACACAAGATCTCTTTAAATATTTTTTCCAAGTTAACCTTATATCATTATTCTATTTCCTTCCAAGATTTCGTTATCCTCTTTCTGACTTGTATGTATACCCAAATCCTCTACTTTTTGTTCATTTATTTTTCACTTAGCTCATTAGACAAATATCTTTGTTCCATCTCAAAAGTTTTTTTCATATATTTCCTAATTCATTCTTCATTCAATAAATTTGTACAAATTCATTGAAAACAAAATCTTTGATATAATATAGATATTTTTAATACTTTCTTGTATATTTGTCCCGTTTTCATCTCGTATTCACTTTTATCTGTCTTCATTTTTATCAATTTTTATCAAATGAGTTTTCAAAGTAAAGATATCTGTCTATTACTTTAAATCTTTTTTGATATAAAATAGCTCCTCCAAAAACCGTTCTCACTCCTCCTCTCTACGGCAGCTTTCCACTTGACCATCATGGCATCTTTTTTTATATATTCTTAATAATTACTCATTTCTTTAGGAGAATGTAAATCAATTATGGAATCCTACCTCCAATGTCTTCAACATCATCAATACAACCAATCTCCTTGCAAACATATAGCAAAAGCATATCTTCAGTGCCGCATGAATTCGTTTGTGCTTCATATGTTGAAAATCCACTAATGTTTACAGCGCCCTCTTTCATCCCCGTGAATTACATAATCTTGGATTCCACGAAACGCCTTCTGATTATCTTGAATCTCATCAAAACCATCATAAGGATTAAAATATAGAGAATAATAGAGAAAAATAAAGAAAAATAGATAGAAAAAATCATCAGAACAACATTTATCTTAAGTTAAAATACAGAATATCTATTATTTCTGTAGAACCAATACGAAACAGGATGAATACCGTAATGAACATAATTTCTATTGAATTACTTGATACAGATCTTATACTTGGTAGGAGTTGTAGATATAAAAACTGTATACAGATTAATGATATCAGATGTAATGGAACCACCTGAAGAGATTGAAGGAACAAGCAGCAGTAGGCTATATCAGACACAATTGAGCGTAGTTTGCCAGTAATAGCAAAAATAAAGGAAAACAGAGCATACATAGGTCAATTTACGTATATATGCCACATGTATACAATGTATATACAACACATATAATACATATACATTATGAATGCTGAACATAAGAAAAAAGACTACATATAGAGTACATAGACCATACATAAAGAGCGTATTTTTGGCTTATTTGCATATATAAAAAGGCCTATCATGGGTGATGCATATAGTCGGATCGGCGGATATCGAAAATATAGGGTAGAACTACCCATATAATTCGAGTAATAAGCTAATTAATAAAGAGAAGTAGAAAAGACTACAAAACGACTTGTTTTAGACGTAATATAATCATTATTTTAGGTAAATTTGGAAGAATATTACTACAAAAAGATATTTTTAACAATTAAGACAAATAGTCTATTTACAAAGAAAAATATACTCAGTTGGTTTAGTAATAACTATGAAGCGTCTTTTAGAACAGTATCAACAGACATCAAGCAAATCTCGACCAAAGACAGTTGTAGACCGATTGCGTTCATACCGCTTGTTTGCAAGGGAATATATGCCCTTACCATTAGGAAATGAACAGGATTTAGAGTCAACAACAGGAGATATACAAGAATGGATGAAACTTTCATATAGCGATCGTGTAATAATTTTTGTTGTTTTTATGTTGGCATCAATTTTATGCTTTGTTTTTTCTATATTTTTGATGATGACACTATTTAAGCCAAGGAAAGTAGTTCTTTTGTGGACAATCGGGAATCTGTTTTTTCTTGGATCGTGAGTTGTATGAGTGTTTAAATATTGGATTAATATATTACAGATTTTCGGCTCTTCAAGGACCTTGGACATATATTAAGCATTTATTTTCATTACCACGGCTTCCATTTACATGTATATATTTAGGGAGTATGTTTTTGACATTATTTTTCATTATAAAAGTAAGTAGAAATGGTAAATGAAGTAAATAGCAGTTTAAACTGTATTTATAGTTTAAATCAACTATTCTTTCTATTTTTTCTGGTGCAATACAATTGTTAGCTCTTTTATGGTATTTAATAAGTTACTTTCCAATGGGTTCTCAAGGACTTCGGTGGGGTAGTCAATTCATCATCTCTAAAATAAAATCCTATATTGGCGTTTAAATACATATATACCATTTTATCATATTAAACATTAAATTTTATAAAAATAATACGAATAGTATTAGAAAATGCATATCTTGTCTGTTATTTTTAAAATTGTAACATTTATTGCAAATCTTAGATGTAATAGAAAGTAAAAAAACAGAATTAGACTAAATAAGAATTATGATAAGTATAGTAGGAAGCAGCATACTTTTGAGATGTACAATAAGAAAATATAAAAATTAAGCATTATTGCAGAAGGTATATTAATACAAGGTTTTAAAGATAGATATTTAGAGGAAACTATTTCAATTTTATAGTCATGCTAAACAAGATAATGCTTAAGAATTAACATCTTTGGCTTAAATTGATATTTTTTCTATATAAATATATAATACTTTAATAAAATTAAGTTAAGGTTGTTTTAATATATTTTGTATTTTTTTAATCATTTTTATTCTTACAATACTTACATGTACTTTACTAAATATTTAATATAATAGGTTTTCTGAATCAAAATAATATTTTAACAAATTTTGAAATATTTTAGTATTATTAATTTTTTTAATTTAATTATGTGAATACTTTTTTTAATTTTTAATAATCTCTAAAATTAAATATTTTAAATTATATTAATAAATGTTAATATGAAACTACCAAATATAAAATAGTCTAAATTAAATTATATACTATTTTTATAATGATTTTTAATGATTTTGATATTTTTTACAAATATTTTAAAAAATGATATAAACCTTCAACAAAACGGGAGAAAATATTTTGCCACTTTAGAAAGCTTTTTTACAAAACCTCTCTTAAAATCTTCCATAAAATTTCTCTAATTTAAAAGTAGACCTCACTAGCCCCACCTGGGACTCGAACCCAGAATCCCCTGATTAGAAGTCAGATGCGCTAAACCATTGCGCCAGCAGGGCAATCCATCAAGACACTTAAAAAATTATTAATAAATAAAATTTTAAAATTTAAATTATATATCAGAAAGCTTAAATATATATAATTCGAGATTTTTTATCTCAATATTTTCCTTATTATATATATTGCAAATCCAAAAGCAATAAATATATATAAATAGATAACACTTTAATTTTTAATCAATAAATACAAATTTAAATCTTTTTAAAAATAAAAAACAAATAATTAAATAAAATAAATATTTAATATTAACAAAAACGAAAAACCTCAAAATTTTTAATGAAAATAAGATCTAAAAACAACACTTTTATAAACCCCAAATTTTAATACTAAAAACTAATAACGATAATGATGACTTTTATATGGTCCATCAATAGGAACATCAAGATAGATGGATTGTTCAGGTGTTAAACGCGTAAGTCTAACACCAAGCTTCGGTAAATGAAGGCGTGCAACTTCTTCATCCAATTCTTTAGGCAAAAAATGAACACCTACTGAATATTCATTTTCCTGAGCTGTCCACAATGCAATTTGCGCCAAAACTTGATTAGTAAACGACATAGACATAACCATACTACTATGTCCTGTAGCACAACCTAAATTAACTAAACGTCCTTCTGCTAAAAGGATAATATGACGGCCATTTTTCAACTGATAACGATCCACCTATATCATATTAAAATAAATATAATTTTCTCATTTGTTTACTTGTGGTTTAATATTTGTTACTAAAATCGCATTTTTCTTAAGCCAAGCAACATCAATCTCTACATCAAAATGTCCAATATTACATATAATTGCATCTTCTTTCATTAATTGGAAATGAGAACCAGATATAATGTTTTTACATCCCGTTGCAGTTACAAAAATATCTACTTCAGATACTACATCTTCTAATGTAGTTACCTGATAACCCTCCATACACGCTATTTCAATTAATTCATGAAAAATATTATCCGTTACAGACCTTGAAGAGCAGTAATAGGATCAATCTCTGTCACAATAACACGGGCACCCATCCCTCTCAAAGCTTTAGCACACCCTTTCCCGACATCACCAAAACCTGCAACTAAGGCAACTTTCCCTGCAATCATAATATCTGTTGCACGTTTGATACCATCAATTAAAGATTCACGACATCTATATTTTAAAATAAATGCCATTATATAGAAGGAAAAAACATACCCCATATAGTTGTCAAATTTGCTTTTTGTTACACTATCATTAACATTAATTGCAGGAACTTTGAGTTTCCCCTCTTTCAACATTCTATAAAGTTGATGAACACCAGTAGTGGTTTCTTCACTAATTCCTTTACATTCTTTAAGATAATTCGGATACTTTGAATGTACAAGAGCGGTCAAGTCTCCACCATCATCAAGAATCATATTTAAATGTTTTCCATCTTTAAAAGATACTAATTGACGTTCCATACACCATAAATATTCTTCTTCAGTTTCTCCTTTCCAAGCAAACACAGAAATACCAGACGCAGCAATCGCAGCAGCTTTGTTACATTTAATTCCTATCTTTATCTATTCTTTTCAATTTACCTGCATGATCTTGTGTAGAAAAAATATTACATGATGACCATGTCACTTCAGCACCAAGCTCAACAAGTGTTTCAATAAGAACAGCTGTTTGTATAGTCATGTGAAGACAACCAGCAATCCTTGCACCTTTTAATGGTTTAGAAGCCTAATTTATGTTCTATTTAGTATCTTTTTTTAAAAAAACATACACCATATTTCATCCGACAAGACAAAAGCCCAGGCATTTCATTTTCAGCTAATCCAATCTCTTTGCGCCCCCATTCAGCAAGAGTAATATCTGCAACTTTATACGGATGCACTAACATCTTTTTTAAATTTTTATAAAAAATTTTTAAACATTATAAAAACATCTAACGATAGAAAATTATTAAATAAAAAAATCAAGATATTTATTTAGTAATAATATTTGAGTTATATTCTATAACATCATCTTTAAATAATAAAATAAACAAATAACCTTTAAATTCAAATCTTTTTAAATCTATTAACTGGTTAATGTAAAACATTTCAGATATAAAAAAACTAGATACAAAACCTTTTTATTTATCATATGTAGTAAAACCATGTAATTATTTTCAAAATAAACTATAAAATAGTGTTAAAAATTATAAATCAAAATTACCGCTTTTCCTTAAAATTTAAAATAAATTTATTTTAAAAAAATAAAAGCATATCAAGATATTAAATTAAAGTATTTTAGTGTTTAAAAAGAAATATAATTATTTTTTTATATTATTATAAACCTATTATTTTTCCACATTCCCATTGTTCTTTCTTTTTAAGCCGAAGATAATAAAGTTTTCGTGCTTGTCTATATTCCTTTATAAATTTCAAAATATCATTATTTTCTTTATTTTCTAAAAATGATTTCTGAAGAGAATTTGAGAAATTGTCTATTTCTTTTATTGCATTATCAAGTCGAGTAAGTAAATATGGTTTCGAATGAAACTATAATTATTATTTTTAAATTGTTATAAAGAAAATACTTTACTTTAAATAAAATCTCCATTTCTTTTTTTACACCTTTCCAGCGTTTTTCATACTTTTTGACTTCATTAAGAATATTTTCTACATTTTCTTGCAAATTTATAAATGATGATTTTTGATTTAATAATTCTTCTAAATATAAAATTATTTAAAAAATTATAAAATATATTGTATATTATGCACCTGAAAGTTGTATATTAGTTTTATATGCTTCTTCAAGTATATTCATCTGCTGCAAAATTTCTGGGTGTGTTGTATTTAATATCGCATCTAAAAGCAAAGAATCATTTAAAATATCTTTAAGATCTTCTTGTCTAGACATCACTAAAACAAAAATAATAAAAAAAAACAAACAATACGTTTTCTTATAAAGAATAGGTGGTATAAATGAAAATTTAGTGTCATTATTATACTTTTTATTTTCAATTTTTGATTCATTTTCTTGAACATTTATTCCAAATATTTCTGATCTATAATTCATATTCGAAAAGTCTAAATTATTAAAATCGTCAGTATAATAATTATAATTTTGATTATTTAAATCCATATAATATTCTAAGTCATTTTAAAATTCCATAATTATACCTAAATGCAACGTGGAATTTTATAAATAAAAAATCTTCAAGAAAAATAATATAAAATATTTTAAATATTACAGTATTTTTTACATATTCAACTATTAATTTTTTTAAAATACCACTGAATAAAACTTTGCAATCTAAAGTAACTTTATACTTCTATAAAGACATTTTATTGATAATATTATTAAATATCCATTAACAGATTATTCAAAATTCAATGATATATTATTTATTAAGATAAAAAGTATAATCTTAAATATTTAAGTCATATTTTAATGCAATTATTAATATTAAAAAAAAATAAAATAGAAATTTTTACCAAAAATACGTTTTCTCAAGATCATTTTCAAAGACTTGTAATAACTCTTTAATATCTTTCCTTGGAATTCCCTCAAGTGATGATATTTTTTCTAAAGCATTTTTCCCATTAAAATATTTAATAATTCTATTTCTTAATAGAAATTTATATAAAATAGAATACTATACCTATTAAAAAGAATGGAATATTTTAGAGGTTTCCTATTTACAATTTCTTCAATCCATACTCGTTCTTGTTTAGAAGCTTGATGAGGTTCCCTAATAATTGAGTCAGTTAAATCCTCCACTGTTTCAGACAAATTGGTATCATTAAAAGAAATATCGTCATTTTTTTGCTTTTCTATAACGGCTTTTTTGATTTCTTTTGAAACTTTTATCCAAATGAATGTTTTAAGTTGACTAACCCATCCATATCTTATTAACCATGTAAGAACGTTTAAATAAATAGTACGATAGTTTTTTGAGGGAATATAAAATGAAAAAGGGCGCAATTCCCTTGAAATCTGTCCTAATATAGTAGGAAGAGGAGGTACTGTAGGAAATAATGTTTTAAACAATGATTCTTGATATTTTAACCTAAAAAATGAATTGATGAGTACAAAAATAAATTAAATCCATACTTAGTCATATTTGCAGCAGGACTAACAAAATATATATTCCTTAAATGCAAAGGCGGTATAGGTATAGCTCTTCTCCAATAAATAAGATGTTCTGCAAGAATATGTATATTCCTTAGAGGGATATTAGTTTGTTGAGATAATTTAAGTAAACTAGAAAGATAAGCTACGGATTTTAATCAACAATAAAAAATTACGTTTGAGTTGGACGTATATTCTTTATAAACAACGGCAAAGAAGGATCTGCATCAGCTGGTATGTTTTGTAAAACACTTTCAATATCATCCAATAATAATAAAGAAGAATGTGGAGTAAGAAATGGGTCACTATAATCCATATTTTCATCATAAACGTCAATAGATGTAAGAAAACGGTTATCTTCTGACATATCAGTTGGAATAGATGTAGTAATTATAGGTGTTGGAATAAAAATTGAAAAATCAAAAGAATTATTGATGGTTAAATGCGCTATTCCAGATGCAGAAATAGCATTGTATATTGTGGCCAATGCTGATGCAAGGGTAGATTTAAATAAAATATCTATCCATAGTGCGTCAAAAGAAACTTCTAATATCTAAGATTAAATAAAAAGAAATAAAATAATTTACCATCATTTACTGCTTTTTCCCGCATATGTAAAATCATTTCTGATTGAGACCAAACATAATCTGTTTTGGCTTGCTCATATTTTAAAGCCATGGCCAGTTTAATTACAACATTAGTATACATTTCATTAATTTTTGTATGATAATTTTGTGTTAACGGAGGCTTCATAACCATAACAATATGAAACAATGTCATCTGATGTTGAGAAAATTTCGTGTTATCATTTACAGGTTCAGCTAACACAAATGCTTCTGGATTAGATACATTTGGAAATTCAGAGTAAACTGAATTATGTTTTAGTGACTTATCAATGTATTTAGACCAAGTCCCATCTGACCTG